GCTTCACTGGCCCATGTTGATATTATCATTGCGCTCTTCCCGAATGAGGCAGATCGGTCACTGGTCATTGCACAGCTGCTCACGGTGGCTCATGGCAGCTCACACCGACTGCTGGCCGCTCATGCTGGCTGCCTGCCACTTGCGGTAGCTTATGGCAACCCACTGCAGCAGGGGCTGCAGCCTACACCGTCGCCGGTGACTCACGGCAGCCCAGCTCCAGGTCAAGCTGTTGTTCAGCATCTTAGCTGTAGAGGGCAGTGTCACTGGCCCTCATGTGGGATCCGAACCTGGACCCTGCTGCTCTTAACCAACGCACCACTCGGCCAGCCCCACAGTAGCCCATTTGATTCTTGTCTCTAAACCAGGCAGTCTCTTTCATGACTGTCCTGTCCACTCCACCTATCTATTGACTACTTATTCTTTTACATCCATCTCCAAAGTCACCTTTTTGGGGGGAGACTTCTCTGAATCCTTGTCCCTAAGACAAGGCCCTGTCCTCCACATTCTCCCAACCTGCTTTGGGGTTTTGTTCTAGAGCAGTTTTCATGCTAAAATGTTATTATATATGTGTCCATTGCCCCATTGTATTAGTTTTCTACTTGTTGCTGTCACAAATTTCCACACATTCAATGGCTTAAAACAACATAAATATATCATTATCTTTCAGATCTGTAGGTCAGAAGTCCAACATGAGTCTCACTAAACTAAAATGAAAGTGTTGGCAGGACTCCATTCCTTTCTGGAGGTTCTAAGGTAGAATCTGTTTCCTTGACTTTTCCAATTTCTAGAGCTGCTCACATTCTTGGGCTCTTAGCTCCCTTCCTCCATCTTCAAAGCTAGTAACAATGGACTGAGTCCTTCTCACACCTCATCACTCTGACCTCCTCTTCTGTCTTCCTCTTCCACTCATGAAGACCCTTCTGATGACATTGGCCTCACCTGGATAATCCAGGAAAATATTCTGATCTTAGCAACCTTAATTTCATCTGCAGTCTTCATTTCTCTTTGGCATTTAATATAACATATCATAGATTCCAGAGATTAAGACAAGAAAATCTTTGGGGAGGGGGTCGTTATTCTACCTGCCATCCCTATCTCAACTGTGAATTCCAAGGGCTGAGCCATACAAATTTTATCTTTGCAACTTCCCACCCTACACTTCTCCCTCCAGCCATGTGTCTGGCACACAGTGGGCACTCATCAGTGATTGGACAAACACATTTTGTAACTTCTCATAATTACCAGATCTCTCACTTCCTAGAGAACAGACTTCTTCCTTTCCTAAGTCTAACCTAAGTATCACCTGCTTTATTATCTTAATTGTACTCATGCCAGGTCCTGTGATGCCTCAATCCTTTTGCTTTTTGCTCTTGGCTAGAGATCTAACTGGAAACAAACCGATAACTAGCTCTGCCAATGCAGCCATTGCACGGTCAGTTAGCCGGGTCTCCTAGGATGGTTGTCCCATTCTTAAGGCAGGGCTTCTTTCTGTTCCTCGTAAATCAGATCTTTAAAGCCTCTACCATCTGGGTTGCAGGGGAACGTAGGAGAGTGAATATCCCCTGTAGGAAAAGTACTCACCCTCAAATTGCCCTCCCAGCACCTCACTTCCTTCTCATCTAGTCAAGCCTGCCTGCCCCATTCACCTTTACTGTTCTTTGCTAGCCTTCTATATGTGTAGGGGAGTAGGTCTTGCTCGCCCCAAGCTGGAGAACTAGAACCCTATCCACATCTTGGAAGTTTGTTCCTTATACCCTGTACAGAGCTAGGCATGTGAAAAGGGCTCTGTAAACAGAATCTGGCCCTAAACCATTTTTGCAAACTTTTCTCCCACTCCATTCATTCTGCCACCTGAGGCTATTCCCTGTTCCCACAAAACAACATAAATGAACACATCCCCTTGTCTTTCCTTAAGCCATTCCTTCTGCCAAAACTGGCAGCCTTTTCCTCCCTCTCTTGACCTCTCCTCCGAAACACACACACACACACACACACACACACACACACACACACACAATCTGTTCATCTTTCAAAGCCTAGCTAAAATGGTTCCTTGTCTGTGAGACCGTCCTTACCACCCTGTCAGAATTTATCCCTCCTCCTTCTCCATCCCCCAAGCTGTTTGTAGTTCTGTTTAGCATGGACTCCATTCTCCTTTGTGTGTTAGTTGTTTGTTTACTCATCAACTTCTCCACCGGCTGGTAAATATCTTTGGGATATATTCACCTTGGTGTCCCAACCACCATCCACTCCACTCCCATCCACCACCACAACCTTAACTCCATCACACAGTGCCTGGCACCAAGTTTGCGGTCAGTCAATGTTTACCTAGCAAATAAATGGTTCCCTCACGTTTTCCCTGGTACAGTGGAAGGCTCAGGAGAAATCTTGGTCCATGTGTTGCAAAGTTCTCCCGCTTCTATGACCCATGTCCTCCTTACCAACAGCTCCACACACAAATTTTGACCCTTATGCTTTTTTCTATACTTAACCTTTGTGTAGCCCAAAGCCCCAAAATTGCATCATTTAGATGGCTGTTGGAGTACACTCATATACTTGCAGATTAATGAAGTGGAAGAGACTTTAGGGACACTATCTGCTTCCCAGCTCACAAAATGAGGAACCGAGGATTACAGAAGGCAAAGGACTTGCCCAAAAACCCTCATCATATTTGTAACTAAGTCAGAAGTAAATTAGTGGGAGGTTTTTAGATTTTTAAGTTCAGTTTGCTTTGCACACAGCCACCACCCATTAGCCTTACACAGAAAAGTGGGTAAATGGTGCCACACAGTGGCTAAGAGGCTTAGCTTCACCTACTGGCCTTATTCCTCGAAAGTTGAATTCCCAGCCACACCCTGCTCTCCCTTTCTCCCCTGGAGGATGAAGGGAACAGGGAGGCTACCTTCCAAGAATAATCCACAGGATATCCGCCTAGCCATACCTTCTGGAGGCAGGAAACAGGACCCAACCATGTTATCCCACACCTTCACCAGGAAAGATGGGGGAGTGGAGACAACCGGCAGCTTGGGAGCCAGAGAGTTGAGCTTCCTGAAGGAACTTAGAAGAAGGGATTCAGACCTTCCTTCTCTAAACCAGTTCTGAAAGCTGTTCCCTGGGCCTGTGCTGCTGGGCTGGCTATTTACAAAATGTTTCTTTCCCATATCTTGCCTGCTAAGAACTGGCTTCACACCCTGACACAGGCCTCTCTATTCAAAATATGCAGATCCCGGGCTGGCAAAGTGACGCATTGGTTAAGAGCTGGCTTGGGAGCACGAGCTCTGAGCAGCAGGGCCCCGGTTTGGATCCCACATTAGGACCAGTGACGCTGTGCCCTCTACAGCTAAGATGGTGAACAACAGCTCGACCTGGAGCTGGGCTGCCGTGACTCACCGGCGATGGCATAGGCTGCAGCCCC